ACCGTTGGAATTTTCGGATTCCGATGTTCCAGTGAGGAGTTATCATGCCCGCCATCAAAAATAAGGACTTTTCTTTAATTACAAAAAACAACAACAAAACAATAACAAAAATTTTTTGTAAATTATTTTTCTTCTTTTTTAATCTTCAATTATATATGTGCAAAGTTACAAACCTTAACAAGCATTGGTATTGATTTACCAGCCCATTGAAAATCTTAAAAAATTCAAATCGAGAATGGGGGGGGGGGTTCCCTTAAATGTCACTGGGGTTATTATAGCAAAGCTCATCACGCTCATTTGCTAATTTCGTCGCCGCTCCAGGCAATTTAGTCTACATTCGTGTAGTCGACCAACAGGTATATATCGAACGCTGTGATTGTTTTGGTATTGGAAATTTCTTTCTGCTACCCGAACATCAGAAGTATTGGACAGTTCTCAGTTGAGACGTTAGATGAAATCTCTGAACTCTTACCGATTTGCTTTAACCTGATTAAGAAATATGGCATTCAGAGGTTATTTTATGGATATGATTGTAGGGAAAGCATCTGACCAGATTGAAAAGACTCACTGCCATGTTACCGGAGGCATTATGAATATGTCCGCTGAGCTGAGGCAATCATTCCTTATCCTATTGGATCCATTCTCATTCACCGTCAAAACGTTGATATATCCATTTGCTCGGTCAACCCAGAAATATACATATTTAGAAGTTCTACCTCGGCAGTACCACATTTCGCAAATATTTCAATACATTTTATGTATGGGTAACTATAGTCAACCTACATTGTCCTGTAATGAACAGAGCTATGTAGTAGGAAAGCAAATGTTCCACCTTTCGTACGAACCTTTTAAAAGACTGTGAGACAAAATGAGGGCATGGTCCGCGGGTGTAAAATTCCTATTTGGTATGAATGACCTTAGTGTAGTTCAGAGATATGGCGAAATATTTTTTGCTAGCAACCCTATAGTGAAGAGATAGATGAAGAGATAGCTCAATATCATGATTTCGTTTAGCTATTGAATGTATTTTTTTGAGATAATATTCCTTCAGTCAAATCGAATGATGTTTTTGTTTGTAGAACATTTCGTCCTAACCTAACTCTATTCCATGTGTTTTCTTTTCGTCTTGAATTTATTGAACTGGACTCCAATTCTCATTCTAGTACCTCTCCCACAAATGGTCAAAAAATGTATACTGACAATTTTCCGGCAGGAAAATATCACCAGAGTGAGAATGGAGACTGGCAATTTTCCCGATGACCTGAGATTGGCATTCTTCTCCATAATAAAATGTCATTTCCTCTATGAACTGAGACTGACATTTTTCGTGAAAAAAAATCTCCTCCTCATTGCTCTGAGGCTGTTTATTTTTATATAGAAAAATCGGAACTTTGCTGTTGTGGCAGTTATTATTGTTGTGTTCTTTCTTCCCAATCTGCCTTTGCTTCCAGTTCCCAGTTCAAAAAGAAGGCGGTCAGTACAGTTTCTGTCCATAATAAAAATGTTCTAACTCGATTCCTTGTGTGTCCTTTTCGTCTTGAATTTATTGAACTGGACTTCATTTATCATAAGATAAGATTTTTTATCCTCATTGAATCCTACAAAAATTGGGCTCATAAGATTTTAGGTGGGGTCCGCAAAGACGAATTATCAATATTTTAAGGTTCTAATGTCCTATGGTCTCCATTTTACCGTATCATGTCACTAAAACCCTATATCTGGAAATTTCAAAAAATTCATTATACATGCTTTATTATGAACAAAAGTCGGATTAAGTCGGATGTTAATAAACCCGTTTTTAATGCTTAGAAATGTAATTAAGAAAGGCGCTAAATTTTCTTTACAAGATGGTTTCTTTTCCGAATATCTAGAAAACCGATCTTTCTTCCTTAATTATACCCTTCATCACACTGTGGTACAGGGTATTATGTCTTTGTGCATATGTTTGTAACAGGCAAAAATAATCGATATACCCATGGTTCCGTTTGAGAATATGCATAAAATCACTTTCTGAGTCGATTTATGCATGTCCGTCCGTCTGTCTGTCTGTCTGTCCATGTATTTTTGTGAGCAAAGTACAGGTCGCATTTATGATCCGATCTGGGTGAAATTTGGCACAGGTCACTTAATTGGCCCAAGGACGAACCCTATTGAAATTGGAGAAAATCGGTCCACGTTTAGGCATAGCTCCCATATAAGGGTACCCCCTAATTTTCAGTATTTTGAGGCTCTTTAGCGCGTTTTTCAACTGAATTCGCTGAAATTTGGTACTTTGAGTTCTTATTGGGTAGCAAATCTTTCCACTAAAAATTATAAATATGGGTCCATATTTTCGGATAGCTCCCATATAAGGGTACCCCCAGTTGTGTATATATATCTCCAGTTTTTCTGGTAGTCCCCATATAACGGTACTCCCAATTTTTTGGTATTTTGGGGGTTCTGATCGTATTTTTCGACCGAATTGACTGTAATTTAGTACGTCGAGTTCTTATTAGGTAGCAAATCTCTCCATTATACATAATAAATATGGGTCCATTTTTTCGGATAGCCCCCATATAAGGGTACCCCCCAATTTTCGGTATTTTGGGGTTCTTGAACGCGTTTTTCAACCAAATTCTTTGTAATTTGGTTTTTTGTAGTCGTATATGGTAACAAACCTCCCATCCCAAAAATTATTAATATTCGCCCCCTTTTAGGGGTGGTCCCCTTATAACCCCCTTTTTATACCCTTCACCGCACTGTGGTACAGGGTATTGTGTCGTTGTGCATATGTTTGTAACAGGCAAAAATAATCGACATAGACCCATGGTTCCTTTTGTGAATATGGTTAGAATCACTTTCTGAGTCGATTTATGCATGTCCGTCTGTCTGTCCATGTATTTTTGTTAACAAAGTACAAATCGCATTTATGATCCGATTTAGATGAAATTTGGCACAGGTCATTTAATTGGCCCAAGGACGAACCCTATTGGAGAAAATCTGTTCAGATTTAGATATAGCTCCCATATATATTTTCGTCCCATTTTAACTTATTGAACTCCCAATTGTGGTTCGATTGAGACAAAATTTTGCACAGAGTATTGAATTAGGTCTAGATAGTTATATGCCAAGGTTTGTTGAAATCGATTTAGATTTAGGTATAGCTCCGATGTATATAAATAGTGCACCAAACTCCCAATAGTGGTCCGACTAAAGCAACAAAATATGAGAAATTTTGTTGGAATCGGTTCAGATTTATATCTAAATATGCTATATATAGTTTCGCCCGATTTTATGTAAATGGAGCAACATACTGCCAATATTTATCCGTACTAAATTAGGTCGTTGATGAATGCGAAGTTTTGTTGAGATCGGTTCAGATTTAGAAGTAGCTCCCATATATAGTTTCGTCCGATTTAAAGTAAATTGTGCACCAAACTCCCAATATTGGTCCGATAGGAGCAAAAAATTTGCACAGAGTACTGAATTAGGTCCCGACTGATGTATGCGGAATTTCTATATGTAGATATTAACATGTCTTGCATGTACCCAGAGTGGTGAAAGGTATCATATAGTCGGCCCCGTCCGACTTTTGAACTTTCCTTACTGTTTTTTTTTATTTATAATTATTATTATTATTATTATTATTTTTTTTATTTTTTTTTTTTTTTTGACTTGTTTGGTATATCTATCTATGTTTTTGTAAATAATTTGGACGAATCAGCTTTATTATCGATTTTATTATCCCAATATCCGGTGAAAAAGTCTAGAAAACCGGTTCTTTCATCCCTAACAATTCTTTTACACTACACAACTATGTTGTCAGGGTATTATAGCTTTGTGCAGCCCCAACCTAGATCCACCTTTAAGTATACCGATCGTCATATCTCGACTAGCTGAGTCGATCTAGACATGTGTGTCCATCCGTCCGTCCGTCTGTCTGTCTGTCCATTATAATTTGTTAACACTATACAGGCCACAGTTATGGACCAATGAAGACCAATGGGTTCTGGCCAATGAAGACCCTATTGTTTTTGGAAAAGATCGGTTAATATTTAGGAGATGAAATGGACCAAAAACTTTATTTTTTCGGTTTTTCTGGTCACTCGAGAGGCCGCAATTATGGCCCAAACACCGCGAATTTTTTGCATGGAGAAGGGGATCGGGCCAAAGAATAAGTATGCCTGCTTTAGCGGGTTTTGAGTGAAAAATTTCAATATTTGTAATCTATGGGGTATATATTTGCACCTGAAGGTCCTAGACCCGAGAAATTGATAGTATGTTCAAGTGGAGTGGTTGACCTTTAAATTGATACCAATTATATTGTCGTATGTACTCGGATGCGGGACTTACACATACATATTTACAGGTGCTTACGTATTCATGCATTATTTAGTAACCCATTACTAGAGGGCGGAAATATAGCGCTGATCTATTTAAAATTTTCAATGAGGTTCAAGTTATGGTCACCGACAATGCCTATAATTTTCGGCGATGATCAGATAATAATTTTGGGATGAAGTGGACCGAAAACTTATTTTTTGGTGTTTTTTTCGAGTCGATCTATAGGCCTAAACACAAGCCGAACATCACAACATAACCCACGGTGAAGGGAATCTGGACAAGTGATTAGAAGGGCTGTACTGAATATGTTTAATATTTGTTGAGCTCTAGTCGGTCAAGAGGGTGCAAATACCGCGAAATATTGCCCAAGTTCAGGATATGGAACCACACAATGTTCGATTTTTAGTGTAGAGTATCATATGGTCGGCCCCGCCCGACTCATTGGTTTGTTACGTATTTGGCATAACTATATATTTTTGTAAATAATTCGGAAGAGTTCTGCATTTATACTAAATTTATACAGATTTTAATATAAGAAAATCACGAAAATCTGAACTCATTGCTGATGAAAAATTTTATTTTTTTCCTCATCGACATTGTGATTTTCATAGAATTTCCAGAGAAAATTAAAAATTTTCGCTTAATACTATTAAATGTTTCCTATTATTTCCTTTCAGAATTTGTAATTTAGAATGTGGAATTGAGGGCATGTGTGAACGATCATCGGATGGAAGCAGCCGCTGTCTATGTCCTTTTGGTAAAACCGGCAACAACTGTATGGAGGGTAAGTAAAGCACCTGCAAATGCAGGCTAACTCTCTAAATGACACACATACACACATTTTTTATATTGTGTGTGTGTGTGTGTGTGCCCTTATACACCTCTTCAAACTAAAAACTTGTCCAATAGACTTATTTATGGCCAATTCATGACCTACCAGAGAAGACAATGATTTTCACTTTACTTTGTCAGTGTCACATTAATGGTCTCCTCGTCGTTTCTCTTCTGCTTCGCACACAGACACAAAAGGACACTTGGACAATGTTTTTGATCTTAAATAACAACTGCAACAAAACAACAACAACGCGCACGACCCTACTAAAATTCAAATAAAAACTGAGTCATCACCAAAGACAAGTCAAGGTTATTGTAGACAATGACATTGCTGCCCCTGTGTGTGGCAAGGAACCTTGACCAATGTGTGTGTGTGTAGTGGCGGCCCCTGTTTTATGACTTCCGTCATTTTCATGTATCCGCATTCGCATCCGTGTCCATGTCCATAAACATGAACTAATATTAAAATGTCTACAAAAATATTTCCGACAACAAACTACCATTTGTTTGTTTTTGGACTACGGCACTACGAAGTTTGGCTGTACGTCAACAGACTGTAAAAATTATACATTTCCTTTATTGTCCTTCCTAAGAAGAAGCAAAGCAACAACTAAGCTCTGTAAATTCTTTGGGTGTTTACTCGCTGTGTACATGGGATAACAACTATTGTCTTGGTGTACTAACTGTAAATTAAAAATGAAATACAAAAAACCAGAATTGCAACCTAAGTCCATGAATTAATGTTCGTTTTACTGCATTATGTTGAATGTGCATAAAAATAGAAATTAGTTTTTCCAACTTGGCCTTGGAATGGAAGGAAGGAATAAAAAAACAGTTGGGAAGAATATAAAAAATAATAAATAATGAATGTAGTGGAAGTAGTATTTAAATAGCAGCCAGAATTGGGTGAGTGGTGGCGTATACATGGTGTTAGCTCTCATACGCCCTGCGGTACTCGTAGAAAAATAGTTATTTTTTAAAGGGGATTATTAAATTATTTGGAATTTTAAAGGCTTTGGAATGACAATTCGATATATTAATTACATACTTAGCTGGCTTGAGCTTAAAAAAGATTTCCAAGCACGTCGGTCTCGTGCGCAAGTCCACCAATTTGGAAGACCACGTTCCAAGATGTTGTTTTCTACTTGGTTTTCCATCTAATTCGTGGCCTTCCCCTTCTACGGGAACCATCAGTAGGCTCGTTTTTATATGCCTTTTGAGCTGGGGCATTTTCATTCATCCGCAAACATGGCCTAGCCACCGTAGTCGCTGCAGCTCAATACGACTGACTATGTCGATGTCCGCGTATAAATTGTATAGCTCGTGGCTCATTCGAAGCCGATATTCACCGTCGACGCCCGTAGATCTTTCGGAGAATTTTTCTCTCAAACACCCTAAGAGCTGTCTCCATCCATATAATAGCACGGGTAGTATCAGCGTCTTGTAAAGTGTGAGTTTGGTCTGGCGGGAGGTGACCTTGTTTCTAAACTGCTTACTTAGAACTTAGTAGCACCTGTTGGACATCACAATCCATCTCCGAATTTCAAAACTGATGTCATTCGTTTTATCTATTTTATTCGTTCTCAAGTTCCACAGTTGGTCCAAGTCTACTGGACGTCTTGCGCGTTGATACCATCAGCTTGGTCTTCTCGCCGTTTACTGCCAGACCCACATTGGCAGACTCCTTATCAATTTGTTCAAAGGTGGCTGTTACCGCTCGCAATGTTCGACCCATTATATCGATGTCATCGGCGTAGGCGAGTAACATGTGTTGTTTGGTGTACAGAGTGCCATTTCTGTTCACCTTTGCGTCTCGTATGACCTTTTCCAGCAGGATATTAAAAATATCACACGACAAAATGTCACCTTGTCTGAATCCTCGTTCGGTATTGAAGGGCTCCAATAAGTCCTTTCCTACTTTAACTGCTGACCTTGTGTCATTTAAAGTTATCCTGCATAGCCATATTAATTTTGCAGGAATGCCGAACGCAGACATGGCTTTAAACAGCGGATAGGGCTGTCGAATGCGGCTTTATAGTCGACAAATAGGTCGTATGTGTCGATGTGTTTTTCGTGGGTCTTTTCAAGGATTTGGCACAGAGTGAAAAATCTGGTCAATGGTGGATTTGCCAGGTTTGAAGCCGCATTGGTATGGTCCGATGATGACATTGACCATTGGCTTCAATCGTTCACACAGCACACTGGATAACACTTTATATGCGATGGGAAGGAGACTTATTCCCCTATAGTTGGCACATATCGTCTTGTCTCCTTTTTGTGCACGGGACATAGGATGCTGAGGTTCCAATCATTGGGCATGCATCATCTAGCCAAATTGTGCTAATCAGCTGGTACATGCTCCTGACCAGCATCTGGCCACCAGTCTTGAATAGTTCGACTGGTAACCCATCGGCTCCTGCTGTTTTGTTGTTTTTGAGCCGATTAATTGCTTTTATGACCTCATCTTAGCTAGGTGCAGGGACGTAGGCAGGGGGGCCATTACGACACTCCTGATCGTACCATGGGTTTCTTGAAGGTGGTTTTTGGTACCCAATTGTTCCTTTTGCTGCAGTTTGTAGGGAGTGGGCAATTCTTTGCCATTTTTCTTCTATACTATTATCGGGACAAGAAGTGCTTTCTTCAAGCAGATGGGTAAGTTGAGCGGAGTAGGCCTCGGCTACCTGTTGTGTTTGCAGCTTTTCGACGTCGAGTTTCCGTGTTGTATTAGATCGCACCTTTGCTGCAACATTAAGACGGGTGCGTACCTTGGCTGCCACAGGGTAATGGTCCGAATCGATATTCGCTCCTCGGATCGATCGGACGTCTAAAACACTGGATGAATGCCTTCCGTCTATCACAACATGATCAATTTGATTTCTCGTTGCTTGATGCTTGAATCTGTCGCTGCTAACTACCATGTTTTTGCTGCCGCGAAGTCAATCAACATCATGCCGTTGTCCGATGTTTCTTCATGGAGGCTGAATTTTCCGACGGTGGAGCCAAAGATATTTCCCCTTACGATTTTTGCATTAAAATCTCCTAGCAGAATTTTAATGTCATGGCCAGGGCAACGGTCATATGCTGTTTCTAGGCGCTCGTAAAATATGTCTTTGGTCTGTTCATCTTTATCTTCGGTCGGAGCATGGGCGTAAATGAGACTGATGTAGAAGAACTTCGCTTTTATACGGATTATAACAATTCGCTCATCTACTGGAGTGAATCTGGAGACAAGGTCTTTTATTCTCCTGCTAACCATAAATCCGCAGCCAAATTCATGTCTCGTTTCATGGCAGCTATAATACAGGGCGAAATCGTCGATACTTCGATAATTCGATATATTAGAATAAATATTAAATTCAACAAAAAAATTATTAAGGAAAATATCAGTTGAAGATCCAAAATAAAAAAATACATCAGTTCAAGACCCAAAAACATAAAAATTTAAGGGGGAATAGAAATTAGCTTTTACAACTTGGCCTTAAACTGACAGGAGGAATACAAATATTTGAGATCAACATAAAAATATAAATAACGAAAGTAGTGAAAATATATATGGGAGCTATATCTAAATCTGAACCAATTTTCACGAAACTTTGCACACATAATTCTAGTCTTAACTCACTACGCTTTGCCAAAATTCGTGCAAATCAAATAATTTCCAGGGACTCTAGTGGACTATTTACCTAAAATCGGGAGAAACTATATATGGAAGCTATATCTAAATCTGACCCGATGTTTACGAAGCTTTGCACACATCATTCCAGACATAATTCAGTACGCTATGCCAAATTTCGTGCAAATCGAAAGATATATAGGGACTTTGGTACATCATTTACCTTAAATCGGACAAAAATATATATGGGAGCTATATCTAAATCTGAATCGATTTTCATGATACTTGACACACACATTATTACAGATGCAATTCAGTACGCTATGCCGAATTTCGTGCAACTCGAAAGATACATAGGGTCTTTGGTGCACCAATTACCTTAAATCGGATGAAAATATATATGGGAGCTATATCTTAATCTGAACCGATTTTCACGAAACTTTGCACACATCATTCTAGTCTTAACTCACTACGCTATTCCAAAATTCTTGCAAATCAAAAGATTTCCAGGGACTCTAGTGGACTATTTACCTAAAATCGGGCGAAACTATATATGGGAGCTATATCTAAATCTGACCCGATTTTTACGAAGCTTTGCACACATCATTCTAGACATTTCGAGAAAATCGAAAGATATATAGGGACTTTGGTACACCATTTACCTTAAATCGGACGAAAATATATATGGGATCTATATCTAAATCTGAACCGATTTTTACGAAGCTTTGCACACATCATTCTAGACATAATTCAGTACGCTATGCCAAATTTCGTGTATATCGAAAGATATATAGGGACTTTGGTACACCATTTACTTTGAATCGGACGAAGATATATATAGGGGCTATATCTAAATCTGAACCGATTTTCAAGAAACTTAACACACATCATTCTAGACATAATTCAGTACGCTATGCCAAATTCCATTTGACCCGCTATATATCCTTATCAAAACAGGCATGCTTATTCTTTGGCCCGATCCCCTTCGCTATGTAAAAGTTCGCGATGTTTGGGCCATAATTGCGGCCTCTGGAGCGGCCAGAAAATCAGAAAAAAATAAAGTTTTTGGTCCATTTCATCCCCTAAATATTAACCGAACTTTACCAAAAACAATAGGGGTCTTCATTGGCCAGAACCCATCCTATATACAAAATTTCGTGAAGATTGGTCCATAACTGTGGCCTGTATCGTGTTTACAAATTATAATGGACATAATACGGACAGTGTGAACACACATATAAATATAGACTCAGCTAGTCGAGATATGACGATCGGTATACATAATGGTGGGTCTAGGACCAATATTTCGCGGCGTTACAAACTCTTTGGGCTGCATGTACAATTTCGAAGCCAGAAAAACAGACAAATATCAAGTTTTTTGGTCCACTTCATCCCCTATGTATTAACGAATCACTACCAAAAACAATAGTGTACTACTTTGGCCCGAACCTTTGGCAAATTTTTGTGACGATTGGTTCAAAACTGATCCCTGTAGCGTATTTACAAAGCAGAATAATGGATAGACAAACGGATGCACATGGCTAGGCCAACTCAGCAAGTCGAGATATGACGATCGGTGTACTAAAAAAGGTGGGTCTTGACTTTACAAACATTTTGGGGTCACACAAAGCCATAATACACAGACAACATATTTTTGTATGGTATAAATATGGGGTACATGGTGACGTATACATTGTGTTAGTAGTCATACGCCCAGATGTTCTCTTAGAAAAATATATGCTATTTAAAGAGGTACAATTTTTAAATCGCAAAACTAAACAGATCTTTATTTCAATTAATTTAATTTTTTTTACGAAAGTATATTTAGTTCGATAGTGATGTTGGTAGTACGGAAAGGTGTAACCTTGTCCGGCATTCTATACCTCTTATATATATTTTGGTGAAAGTCGTTCACTTGGGTTGTAAAATGGTATCAAGTTGATAGTATTTTAATAATCTAGATTTGACCGGGAGGTTCTTCATTATCTTCAATGATCCTGCTCTTGCAGACAATCTTCTTAAAATTTCAATATGATAATCCTTGTCGCTCCTTCTCATCTTATTCCTTTGTTAATTTTGAATAACACGATATTTTAAATAAAGAATTTCATAATTTTATTTTGTCTAAACTTACAATGCCCATAAGTCTTACCCACCGGTCATACTTTCCCAAACTGCATATTATTTTCAAGTAAACGGCCTTAAGAATGTGTTCTATTGCGAACTCGCTAAACCATCCTCTAACGAATTCGCCAGTGACAAGAAAACATTTTGTTCGTTTCTTCTTTGAGGGTTTTGGGACCTGATACTAATAGATGGTATTGACATTTAGATTTTCGAGGATGTAATTGATGGAACCTTAACACCATCAACCAGTGCCTCATAAATTTGCAGTTTTTAGGTCTTTGGGATCCACTCCATTCAGCTGATCACGTCACAAGACTCGATTGCCCCAACGTATAGCGTGTGTGCCATGTAACCATAAAGAATTGCTTACCATACATCAATTTCTTTTCGACTATATTCGAAGTCTGATGTGCCAATTGGCCTGATGTGCTAATCGCTTCACAATGACTTTTGTGATCTCTAAGACGTGTTTTTTTTTACCACCTCCTCTAGAAAATCTATACCAATTGCGGGTTCTGAATAGATAGTCGTTATGGTATCGACGGCTGACGTATCGAAAATGCAATTGATGGAACCTCAACACCATCAGTCAGTGGCTCATAAATTTGCAGTTTATCAGGGAATCCACTCCTTTCAGTAGATTAGCTAAAATCATACTTTTGATTATATCTTTTATAAATCCTTTTTCATATTGTCCAGTCAGAATGGCGGGGATTTCTCGACATGCCTAATGTGTTGAGGACAGTTAAAAAGATAAAATCGGAAAAAAGAAAAAAACAGAATAGTCAGGAAATAAGTGTTCACCAAAGAAATTGGAAGCCAAAAATCGACATACACCTTATGCCCTGAAATCTAGCTCCGTGTTGAAGTATTTTTGGTTGCGTATACTTTGTATTGGTAGTCATACGCCCTGGTGCACCATTGATTAATTATGATGGTATTGCGAGGATGTATGGCTTTCATTACGTCCCATTCACACCGACTTTTCAGATCTCAGAGACGTGTATGTTTTCCAACTCCTCGAGAAAATCTACACTAAATTCGGAACTCGAAAATCCCAAGTTGATGGTCGCTTTGTGTTAATTGCTGATCAATAGAACCTAGGTGAGGTTAGGTTAGGTTGAAAAGAGGGGTGGATGATACCACCACAAGTCCAACATGAGAAGGACATACACTTAAGCCATATGAGGCCTGTTGTGCGCTCTAGATGTGCGGAGAAATTACAAATCAAGAATTAGTGAAAGTGTATATTATAAAGAAAAACATTTGGTTTTGATTACCTATGAATCTAGGAACTCCGTGTTTTTTGCGAACTACTTCAGTCTTTTCCATTCACACCCCCTCAGATCGCTTAGTCCGTGAAGAGTGTCATTTCGCAAGAATTGTCTCCGAAGGCATGTAAATGCTGGGCAATGGCATAGGAAATGTTCCAGCGTTTCACTGTCTTCCCCACACGCTCTGCACTCGTTACTTCCTTCGCATCCAATCTTGGGTAGATGTGCCTTCAGGCCGAGGTGTCCCGTCAGAACACCCGTCAGTCGGATTATTTCTTTAGGATTTGCTTAGTTTTGTCTTCACTTGGGTCGCCCCATAAGATTTTGGTGATTTTTCCTGTCCCCTCATTATCCCAAAGGGTTTAGTGGGTCTCATGTGCCCATTCCCTCGTTTCTTGTCAATAGAACTTAAGATGTACAATCCATCTTGCGTAATTCTATACTGGTACAACGTTACAATGGGATTTTTTTGGGCGATGAACCATGACATCTGCCTCGGTAAAATAGAAATGAAGCACATGCTCCATAGAGTTGGGAATCTCTAAGGTCTATAAAAAAGGTCATCCGGGGAGACCTTTTTGTACATCAGCAGCTTCTCAAAATCGTGATCAAGGTCCAAATTTTTTATATTGGTCTTAAGAAAAACCAGCTCATTTTCGCTTGCTGGGTGACCTCGTTCTTCTAAACTGCTCTATTTTTATTTCTTTTATTTTCTGAATATTTCCAACATTTCCTTACGTATTTACTTCAGTATGTATGTGTGGCGTATAAGTATTGACAAAGATCATACGCACTATGGTACACCAAATAATTTATAACACATTTCGCATTTTCTTTCAGACATCAAAGTACGAGTACCGAAATTTTCCAAACATTCATGGTTGGCATTTCCTGCACTAAAAGGCGCCTACAAGCATGTTCAGTTACGTATAGAATTCCGTCCCGAATCGTTTGATGGTATTATTTTACTGAGTGGCGAACGTGATGATTTGACGGGAGATTTTATGGCACTGCTATTGAATAAAGGATTTGTGGAATTTTGGTAAGTTGACGGGAAGAAAGAAACAACAATTATCTTCTGAGAACTTGAAGAAATTGACTTTCATATGCCCCGCTTTCAGGTTTGATTGTGGCAGTGGTGCAGGCAGTGTTCGTTCCCGTGAAACGATACTGTTAAATGAATGGAATTCAGTGGTAATTTATCGCCATCGTTGGGATGCTTGGTTGGTGTTGAATCATGGCACTAAGGTTCAGGGTAGATCAACTGTAAGTTTGTACGGGAATCTTTAGAGAGAGAGAGGAATATTAATAAAATATCTTTATTTTTTATTGTTTAGGGCCTATTCTCACGCATAACATTCCGTGAACCTGTATTCTTGGGTGGCACCGGCAATATCACAGGTTTGGCTAATCGTTTACCAATTACATCGGGCTTTTTGGGTTGCATTCGCCACTTTATTGCAAATGATCATGAATACAAGTTTGAGGAACATCCGGTGGGAGATGTAACCAAGGGTTTTGATATACGTAAGTGTATTTTTTATTCTAAATTATTTTTAAATATTTTTTTTTAATCCACAAATACAATTGTAATTCTCTTTTTTCCCCAGAGGATTGTATTACCGACAAATGTTTCAAATATCCCTGTCAACATGGTGGCAAATGCCTACCCTCCGATCAGGGTGCCGTGTGTTTGTGTCCCATAGGTTTTGTGGGAGATTTGTGTGAGATACGCATGGATTTACAGGTATTTTATAAACAAAGGTTTAAATTAGGGGTTTATTAATAAAAAATATTTTTCATTTTCCAGGTTCCTTCATTTAATGGCTCCTCATTTTTGCGTTATGCCCCCTTGGGTGATAGTGTGTTAATATGGCTGGAATTGAATGTGAGTTGCTAACATTTTCTTGAATTTTTTTTATTACTTTAATTTGTTTTCCATAATTTCCAGGTAATTTTAAAACCCGAACAGGCGGATGGCCTTATCATGTATTCGGGACCAAAACATCATGGTGATTTTATTGCCTTATCCTTGAACAACGGCTATGTGGAGTTCTCATTTAATTTGGGCAATGGCCCTGCCGTTGTAAGGTGAGTTATCACGATATATTCATATGGCTGTTGTCGATTTAATTCCTAAAATTTATTATTTCTGTTTTATATTTTTTAGGAGCGAATATCCTTTGTCCATTGGCCAATGGCATACCATTCGAATATCTCGAACCGCGCGCTTGGCCGTATTGAAGGTAGGAATACTTGCGTTATAATATTTTAAATTAGAATTCACCACAAAATTAACCAGTGAGCGGAGCAGTATAGTCGGCCGACCATATGATACCCTACACAACTTCCACGAAAAACTAACTTTCTGTGGATCTATATTCTGAGCTTGGGCAATATTTCTCGATAGTTGAATCATCTGGACCAACTAGAGGCCGACAATTATTACTTATGTTCAGTAACCCTTGACCATAACTGGAACTTCATGGAACATTTTAAATATTGACCAATCCTTATCAAAACAGGCACGCTTATTCTTTGGCCCGATCCCCTTCTCTATAAAAAAAATTCGCGATGTTTGGGTCATAATTGCGGCCTCTAGAGCGACCAGAAAGACCGATAAAAATTAAGTATTTGGTCCACTTCATCCCCTAAATATTAAGCAATCTTTACCAAAAACAATAAGGGGTCTTCATTGGCCATAGCCCATCCGACAAAATAAGCTCTGGCAGATAGTGTGAGTATAACTACTGTCGCAACGTATACGCCACCTCGTCTTTCTCGATTTATTTGTCATAGAACATATGTTTTTAGTGTTTTATATATTACAATAAATTTGTATTAATATCCAGAAGTTCCTAACTATATAGAATTTTTATTATACCCTACACAACTATGTTGTCCGGGTATTATAGCTTTGTGCAGCCCCAAGAATTTATAACGCCGCGAAATATTGGTCCTAGGCCCACCTTTAAGTATACCGATCGCCATATCTCGACTAGCTGAGTCGATCTAGACATGTGTGTCCGTCTGCCCATTTTAATTTGTAAACACGTTACAGGCCACAGTTATAGACCAATCTTCACGACATTTTGCATTTAGGATGGGTTTTGGCCAATGAAGACCCCCATTGTTTTTTGTAAAAATCGGTTAATATTTAGGAGGTAAAATGGACCAAATATTATTTTTTTTTTTTGGTTTTTCTGGTCGCTCCGGAGGCCGCAATTATGACCCTAACATCACAAATTTTTACATGGAGAAGCGGATCCGGCCAAAGAATAAGCATGCCTGTTTTGATAAAGATTGATTAATATTTAGCGGGTCAAATGAATCCTGACTTTTGTGTGAAAAATTACAAAATGTGTATTCGATGACGTATATATTTACTCCTGAAGGCCATAGACCCGAGAAGTTGATAGTATATCCAAGAGGAGTGGTTGACCTTTAAATTGATACCAATTATATTGTCGTAGGTACTCGGATGCTGGAGCTACACTTAAATATTTACAGTTGCTTACGTATTCAGATATTATTTAATAAACCACTACCACACTAGAGGGCGGAAATATAGCGCTGATTGCTTTTACATTTTGCATGAGGTTCCAGTTATGGTCAAGGACAACACCTATAGTTTAGGTGATTACCAGGTCAAAAAAACTTTGAGATGAAGTTGACCCAAAACTTAATTCTTTTGTGTTTTTTTTTTTCGAGTCGATCTATAGGCCACAATTATAACCGAACAGCACAACATAATCCACGGTAAAGAGAATCTGGATAAGTAATTAAAAATACTATACTGAATATTGGTAATATTCGCAAGTTATTGCAGTGTAAGGAAGAGGTGCTGTTGACATCTAACCAGCAAGAGAGTGCAAATATCACGAAATTTTGCCCAGGTTCGGAATAAAAATCCGCAGAAAGTTAGCGTTCCGTGGTAGATGTGAAGGGTATCATATGGTTTATACACCCAATTGATATTCAGACTTAAAGCAATGAACGTGTTGATCGACACCGGATACAAATACCGCACACAAAAATATAGTACAGGCTGGGGCTTTTTTGGGACGAACTGATTCCCTATACGGAGGTTCAAGCTATAACGGAGTGTATTAACTGGTTAAGTTTAAAATATAGAATAAATATCATGACAGATAGTAAACAAGCTTTAAAAGCAATAACTTCCAAAACAGTAAAAACCATAAATAATTTCTCGCGACCGGTCTTATACGAATACGAATGGGCACCGGAATAATAGCAATGAAATAGTCAACTTATTCGCCAGAAGTGCTACTGACTATAGGTGTGAATAACGGCAAACCTTCTACCGCAATATATCAAAAAATGAGGTCATGGGCAAAATAGACCCACAATTTAGTTTTGTCTAGCAGACTGACAGGTATTCTCACAGAACATCTCAAGGGCCCAACACAAGATTGGACGCGAGGGAAACAACCGGTGAAGAACGTTGGGTAAGGTAGCGGAATTGGCTGAAACATTTCCCATGCCACTGCCCAGCTTTTGCAAGCCTTCGAATGCAATTCCATGGAAATTATACTATTCACAAACTAACCAACCTAAAGGGATGACATCTGCAGGCTGACAGGTTCTCACAATCGCAGTGGCTGATATTGTCCTTCGAGGATCTATGAAAAGGAAAATTTTTGCTGGCACCACACTGTGGTACAGGGTATTATGTCTTTGTGTATGGTTCTTTTTGAGAATATGCATAGAATCACTTTCTGAGTCGATTTATACATTTCCGTCCGTCCGTCTGTCCATGTCCATGTTAAATAGTAAACAATGTACAGGCCACATTTATTATGTTAATTGGATGAAATTTGATACAGCTCATTTATTTGGCCCAAGGACGAACCTTATTGGAATTGGAAAAAGTCGGTTCAGATTTACATATAGCTCCCTTGTTTAGTTTCGGCACAACGTACCGAAATTAGTAAAACCTAACGTGTAGAAAGTTTCATTGAAATCGGTTCAGATTTAGATATAACTTCCGTATATAGTTTCGTTCGTTTTAAGTAAATGGTGTACGAAAGACCCAAAGTAAGACCGATTGCCACAAAATTTTGCACAACATACTGAACAGTTAGAACAGCCTAATGTGTGTCAAGTTTTGTTGCAATCGTTTCAGATTGGAATATAGCTCCCATATGTATTTTTGTCCGATTTTGAGTAAGTGGTGCCACAAGCTCCTCATGTTTGTCAGATTGACACGAAATTTTGCACAACGTCCGAAACTAAGCATAGAATGGCGTTTGTCCGATTGAGACTTGCATAATTTTTCCCATTTTTCCCACTGTAAACAAATGACTCTATATCTGTCCAAATTAAAAATTTAGTATATATTAACATGTTTATGGATTTATCTATATTTTAGGAAGCATCTGTTGAATATACTCAAAGTGGTGGAGGGTATCATATAGTCGGCTCCGTACTACTTTACTACCTTCCTTACTTTTTTTTGACACTTAAAGGTAGTCGACGAATTTTTAAGCCGTTTCGGGTTCCTTAGAGGATAAAAGGCTTCTAATTAGTTTTGAGTATTCACCCCACACTTTTTACAACCAACTGAGTTCCCATTGGTTGTCAAATCTGCATACCAAAAAGGTAGAATTGCATAACATTCTCAACTCATGTTGGAGGTTAGAAAAAGTTAGCATCACCAGAACTTAACGAAATGTTTACTTGTTTCTATCGAACTCTAACTAGGAGTCATCACATTTCATTTCAAGCATGTTAGCATTTTGAATACATACAAAGGTTCTACTGTTGGGGAGATTGGACAGCTTCGGCATTGGAGCATCTTCGGCAATGGAGATTCCGATATCGATATCTTTATCAAATGTCAGAATAAAAAACTGTCGTAAAGTTTGAAATCTCTAACTAATAAGCTTATTTAGATGCAGGGTTTCTGTATTTTTTTTTTATTACTACTTTGTCAGGATATTTTTATAAAAACGTCGTTAAGTACAATATACATTTTTAGAAAAATAATTAAAAGTATAATGTTTGTAGAAAAAATGAAAAAAAAAACTATAGAAAGTACCTTTGGGGTAGATTCGGAATTTTAAAGTGGGGAACATTCGGCCATATAGAGATAGAGCTATATTATTTTATTTATATGTTTTTGGCGCTGTCTTAAAAATAATTCTTTAATATGGTTTGTAATTTCATATATAAGGAAAAGCTATTTTCGATAATGTGTGTGGCCTTGAGACGTCAACGTCCGCCTATAGAAAATATAGCCTTAAAAGTCAAAGAATGAATCGCATATTCAAACAAAATATAACCTTTAGAGGATCTGAATTCCAACCAGACTGACTTACATACTTACTTAGCTGGCTTGTTACAGAACGGTTGTTCCATAAGCCGAGCTTAAAAAATATTTCCAAGCGCGTCGGTCTTGTGGGCAAATCCACCAATTTGGAAGACCACGTTCCAAGATGTTGTTTTCTACTTGGTTTTCCATCTAATTCGTGGCCTTCCCCTTCTACGGGAACCATCAGTAGGCTCGTTTTTATATGTCTTTTGAGCTGGGGCATTTTCATTCATCCGCACAACATGGTCTAGCCACCGTAGTCGCTGCAGCTCAATACGACTGACTATATCGATGTCCGCGTATAAATTGTAGAGCTCGTGGTTCATTCGACGCCGATATTCACCGTCGACGAAGATCGGCCTGTAGATCTTTCGGAGAAGTTTTCTTTCGAACACCCCAAGAGCTGCCTCATCTGCTTGCGCAAGTACCTATGCTTCTGATCCATATAATAGCACGGGTAGTATCAACGTCTTGTATAGTGTGAGTTTGGTCTGGCGGGAGGTGGCCTTGCTTTTGAGTTGTTTGCTCAGACCATAGTAGCATCGGTTGGCCATCACAATCCTTCTCCGAATTTCAAAACTGATGTCATTCGTTTTATTTATGGCGGTACCAAGGTATATAAAGTCTTTAACTACCTCGAAGCTGTAGTTCTCAAGTTCAACAGTTGGTCCGAGTCTACTGGACGTCTTGCGCGTTGATACCATCAGCTTGGTCTTCTCGCCGTTTACTGCCAGACCCACTTTGGCAGACTCCTTTTCAATTTGTTCAAAGGTGGCTGTTACCGCTCGCAATGTTCGACCCAATATATCGATGTCATCGGCGTAGGCGAGTATCATGTGTTGTTTGGTGTACAGAGTGCCATTTCTGTCCACCTTTGCGGCTCGTATGACCTTTTCCAGTAGGATGTTAAAAAGATCACACGACAAACTGTCACCTTGTCTGAATCCTGCTTCGGTATTGAAGGGCTCCGATATGTCCTTTCCTACTTTAACTGCTGATCTTGTGCCACGTAAAGTTATCCTGCATAGCCGTATTAATTTTGCAGGAATGCCGAACGTAGACATGGCTTCAAACACCTCTGAACGGATAGGGCTGTCGGATGCGGCTTTATAATCGACAAATAGGTCGTATGTGTCGATGTGTTTTTCGTGGGTCTTTCCAGGATTTGGCGCAGAGTGAAAATCTGGTCAATGGTGGATTTGCCAGGTCTGAAGCCGCATTGCTATGGTCCAATGATTTCATTGACCATTGGCTTCAATCGTTCACACAGCACACTGGATAGCACTTTATATGCGATTGGAAGGAGACTATTCCTCTATAGTTGACACATATCGTCTTGTCTCCTTTTTTGTGCACGGGACACAGGATGCTGAGGTTCCAATCATTGGGCATGCTTTCCTCTAGCCAATCAGCTGGTGCATGCTCCTTACCAACATCTGACCCCCAGTCTTGAATAGTTCAGCTGGTAACCTATCGGCTCCTGCTGCTTTGTTGTTCTTGAGCCGATTAATTGCTTTTATGACCTCATCTTGGCTAGGTGGTATACACTCTATACCATAATCTCTTATTGGTTCTGGGGAATCTTGAGTACATCCGCCAAAGCGAACACTGCGCCTGTTCTGTACAACGTGCGCACTTCCAAGTGCAGATTCGCACATCGTGGTCCTTTATAGGTTTGCGGGGGTCGTCAACATTTTTGTAAAGAAGCAGTAAATAGCTTCTGGGGAGAATATCCCAACAAATAAAACTAAGGGTACTGATGATGATCAGTGGCAAGATCCGAAACTATAATCTTCCCTGCCTTACCCCTCGGCGGACAATGCCATAAATTCCCCACTAATAAATAGTTGTTTTTTATAAAAACAACAAACTGGGATTCAGCCTCACTATTTTGCAAAAACAATTCAATTTGATTCATAAAAACCATAAAAAAAATCGTAATTTTAATTTCATACATACTTAATTCCGATACAACAATATTAAAAGGAGCAAACAGCAAATTGAAAAATCCCCATCCCATTTTGAATTGGATTAAGGATATTGCTTAGGATATTGCTTGCAATTTACAACCATCTTCCCATCCTCCACAGTCTTTCCGCATATGCTTAATATGTTGCAATAAAATTACCGCTTATCTCAATTTAACTAAACGTCTAATAACCCTCCATCCCTTTTTGGCACTTTTCCAGATTGACCAAATGCCTGAGGTAATGACAATTTCGGCAAATGGCTTTTGGCATTTATCATTGCCGGAGAACTTATTTGTGGGTGGTGTAAATCACATCGACAAATTGCCCATGGACTTGAAAAATAAACCCTTCTTTGTGGGTTGCATACAGAAGGTAAGTGTGTGTGTGTGGGTGGGCGGGGAATACAATGAACCCAAAAGAGGAAAACAAACAAAAAAACAATAACAACAACAATTCACATTAATAACATTTCATTTTTGGGTGGGGGCTACTCTCATTAAAACAGATTGAAATAAATGGCCATCCATTGTCGATAATATCGGAGGCGCTGGGTGGCACAAATATTGGCAATTGTCCGCATGCTTGTGTGGCAAGGCCATGTGGTCCATTGGCGGAGTGTGTGCCGCAAATGGAAGGCTATGAATGTCGTTGCAGTGCCTATAATGAACAATGCCACAACAACAACAACAACAGCAATGTGAAGAAAGGCAGTAATAACAACAACAAGAAACCAAAAATCCAATCAAAAGTAAAAGCCAGTAAGGGTGTTGGTTCTTTGGGCTACAATGATTTCAGTGTTAAGGACAGTGAATTAAAGGGACAGCAACAACAACAGCAAAAGAGCCACAAGAAAGCCAAGAAACAACACTTGTTGTGGCACAAAACAAGCTATAAAGCCATGCAGCAGCAGGAACAGCAGAATTTGAAACCAAGTGCAATGACAGAAACAGCCACAAGGACAACTACCCCTGCTCCGACTTCCAGCACCACCACCACCCCATCAACAACAACCACCACAACAACAATGAATTGGCAAGACATGGAAAACATCAATCGGGATATCCTACAGACACAAGAGACCCTCGAACGTATTATGGAGAAAATGAAAACCGATGAAGTGGTACTCGATGACGACGAGGATGAGGACGAACAGGACGAGGAGGCCGATGAAATGGAAGATGATATGATATTCCGTGATATTAAGGCCATGCATGAACAGCAGGAGCTGGCACAAGAACAAGAGCAAATACAACAGAGACAAAAGCTGCTACAACAACAACAACAACAACAAGAAGCTGCAATACATGCCCAAGAAGAGGAACAAAACAGACAAAGACAGTTGGCCAAGGAAGTGGCCCAGTATGGCCATCATGATAGGAGCAGCAACAACAACATGAAATCACAACGAACAAACCGCAATAAACGTAAACACATGATGACAACAACAACAACATCGACAACCACCACGGCACGCACAACAACACCTTCGACCACAACAACACGAAAGGCTTACAAACAAAAACAATATTCCTCGTCGTTGTATTCGACGAAACCGGATCCACACCACAAGACACCCGTCATGGACAAACCGCAGCATAAATTGAGTCGTTTGCCGACCCACTACGAAAGCTTTCAAACCAATACCGGAAGTGACATTTTAACCTTTGAAGATCCGGTGGCACTTGAGGAAGAACAATGGCAGGATTTTAATGCGGCATCGGGCTCATCGTCGTCCACCTCCTCAAGTGAAGAACAACAGCACAGCGTGGAGGAGCCGGAGGAGGAGGAGGTAAAGCCACCAGGTGAATATGTTAGCCTGGATAGCAACAGCAACAACAACAATAACAACATCGTGAACGAAGCCAATATTGAAACAACCAGTGAGGATACTTTCGTCATGGATGAGTCCTTGTTCGATGAAAATGATGGCACCGAGGATTATCAGCGCAAACAATTGGCTCAGGACATGAAACGTATTATGGCCAATACCAAGGGTCATTATGTGCCCAAACAGCCGAAATTGGTAATCACCGAATATGATTATAGTGCCGAAGAGCAGGAGGAGGATAACAAGCAACAGGATCATAATATCAATAATAACAACAACAATAAAAATAAGGATGACATTGATGAGGAAAACAATTCAAATAAATTGCAATCGGCATCAACGTTTATACAAAAACAGCAACAACAACAATATCCCGCACAATCCTCCTTGGAAGATAATCGGAAATTTGCTAACACTGATAACGATCTCAGCAGTAGTGACAATTCTTTGGAGGACAAAAACAACAACAACGACGATGAAGGCAAGAATGAGGAAGTCGATGATGAGGATGATGATGACGACGACGACGATGATTTCGAGTCCCAAGAATTTGAAGAAATTAAAAAGAAACTCCCCTCATCGGGTGATCCCACACAAACCCACACCGATTGGAGTCTGCTAAGTAAATTCGATTTACCCTCGAATGAAAATCGCCCACCCATTGGAGTGAGGAAAAATTTCGGTGCCTGTTTTGTCGGTCATGAATCCTATTTCCATTACAATGATCCGGATACAATGAATCAAATTATTAGCAATAATATCGATTTGAATTTGAGAATAAAAACGAGGTCTGAACATGGTGTCATTTTGTGGACAGCCTGTGTGGGTACCATGGATCAGGATTCGGATGATTATCTGTCGCTGGGTATAGAGGATGGGTAAGTTGAAAGAGGAAGGGAAGGACATTTTGTTCAGAATGGAAATTAAACTTTCTTTTGGCAGGTATCTGCACTTCCGCTACAATCTGGGTTCTGGTGAGGTGGATATTCGTTTTAATGCCACCAAAATTAGCGATGGTCTGTGGCATCGTGTCAGGGCCATAAGGTAAGGATTTAATGGGATTATGTGATGTTGGAGAATTTTTTCATTTCAAATTTGTTTTTTTTTCTTTTCCAGAAATAACCAAGAAGGCTATCTGGAGGTAGATGGTCGCAAGAGCATAACCCTTAGATCGCCGGGTACACTACGTCAATTAAACACGGATACCGGTTTATATGTTGGTAAGTTAAATTCTATAACGGTAATCTAGAGGATACCTACATTAGACCCAAATGAAGATCTTCTAGTGACGAAGACCGAGATGGAAGTTCATAGAATGACTAAATTTTCTATGAACAGAACTCTATAAGAGCTTTGAAAGCTCTTCTAAACATTAATGTGCTTCAAAAGCCTCTCAGAAGATAGACGAAGAGCTTTGTCAGTTCCTCCTTAGGCCAAAAAAACTTTAACGTCTCTTCTATAAACAAAAAAAAAACAGAACGTTAAAATCTATTCTTTAAATAGAAAAGCGTCAACGGCTCTTCTAAAGATAAACCACTTGTGAAAGCTGTTCTACAGAAATAAAAGCTATGATAGCTCTTCGATGAATAGAAGAACTTTAAAAGTCGTTCAGAAGATAGGCGAGCTATAAAATAACAGAACTTTGGAACCTCTTTATTAAATACAAAGGCCTTGGTGCCTCTTCTACAGATGAACATTTGTGAAAGCTGCTCTACGAAAACAAAAGCTTTAATAGGTTTTCGATTAATAGAAGAGAGAATTTAAGACCACAGGTTTAAAGCTTTAACGATTTTTCTATAAAACAAGAAAACTTTGAAATCTATTTTCTAAATAGAAAAGCCCTGACGGCTCCTCTATCGACAAAACACTTGAGAAATCGGCTCTACAGAAATAAAAGTTTTCATAGATTTTCGATGAAAAGAAAAGCTTTAAAGGTTTTTCATAAGATATACGAGATTAAACACTCTACGAAAGAAAGAGTGTTTAAGGAGCATTAGATGAGCATTAGCAGTTCCTCCATAGGATAAAAAGATTTAATGGCTCTTCTATAAAACAAAGGATACTTGACAGCTTTCTAATTATACACAAGCTTTACAAATCTTCTAAATTTAAACGAGCTTTAATAGTTCTTCTAATTACAGAAGAGCTTTGACAACACATCTCTAAATATACAAGCTTTGTCATCATTATTGTACATTTAATTGATAGAAAAGCTTGATAGAAAAGCTTTAACAGCTTTCTAAAGATGGAGAAGAATTTAAAAATTCTTTAAAATTTAAAATAGCTTTTACAGCATTTCTAACTATAGAAGAGATTTGACAGTTCGCGCCATATCTCTTACCGATCTTTTGTAGCTAGAAAAGCTAAAGCTCATAGAAGAGTCTTTATAGCTCCTCCACAAATTAAAAGGCCTTTCCTTAAAAGAATAGCTATAAATGCTTTTCTATTTAAGGTACGTAGAAAAGCTTTGACAGCACTTATATAAATTGAAGAGCTTTGGCAGTTATTCTATACATGGACAGTTATTCTGACATCTATCCTATAGACGGAATACTTTTGACATTTTTGAATATACAAACGGCTTCACAGAAAATTTGTAAAAGATCTGCTGTAGATTGAAAAGCTTTTACAGGTGTCTATATATAGATTGAAAATGGTTTGCAGTTCTTATAAAAGGGAGCTTTCATAACCACTCTTCTTTAGAGGAAAATTAAAAAAACTAAATATAAAAGAGCTTTTACAGCTGTTTCAACCTTAGACGAAATTTGACAGTTCTAAATTTTGCCAGCTCCTTAGATAGATAGATCAGCATTGAAAGCTCATAAAAGAACTTTGGTAGCTTTACAAATTAAAGGTATTCTCTTAAAAGAATAGCCCTAAAATCACTTTTATGTCCACAGTTTTACTGTACGTAGAAAAGCTTTGACAGGTCTTCTATAGATTGAAGTACTTGGCAGTTATTTTATACATTAAAAAGCTTGACAGAATTTGACAAGGTTTCTCTTAAACGAATAAAAGCTGTTATATTTCCACAGTTTTACATTACGTAGAAAAGCTTTGGTCTTCTATAGATTGAATAACTGATTTTAAACATTAAAAAGCTTGAGGGAATAATTTTTGCAATTTTTTATATATTAATGGGTTCTGAAAGCTCCACAGGAAAACTTTAAAAGATCTTCTGTATATTGAAGAGCTTTTACAGGTCTCTATATCGACGCCTCCGAATCATAGTATGCTAAGTCGACTTTCCATGTTTTAAAGTTCTTTACGTTTTTAGATACTACGGTCCTTAATTTACATTCACTGAAATTTTGGTAATCATCGGCCAATCCAAACCAAAGTTATAAGCAAAAATGTACTTAGCATGGCACGTACGATTAAAGAAACTTCCATATTTGAAAGCTTCTACTGAAAAACTCGGGTTTCAGACTTAGCATACTATGGTTCGGAGGCGTCGATATACAGATTGAAAAGTGTTTGCAGCTCTTATAAAGAAGACTTTTAAAGCTCTTCTTTAGACAGATTCATATAAATAGAGGAGAGTTTATAGTTATTTTATAGGTAAAAGAGCTTTAATATTTAGAAGAACTTTGACCAAACCTCCATTGATATAGAGCTGATATAAATCAGCTATCCTATAGACAGAAGTGTTAAGGTCGTATTCAGCTTTTCTATAAATAGAAGAGAGAGAGAAGATCTTATTCAGCCTTTCTAAGGACAGAAAAACATTTTTAAAACTCCTATATCAATAGGAGTCTTGTAATATCATCAAGAAGAGCTTATATATATATATATATATATATATACAGTGGCTCCATCGCATAATCGGACAAAAGTTTTTCTAATATAAATGTATTCTGAACTTTATAAAAAGTGTTAAACACTATTGATAGTTTTCATTATATTAATGTTCTGTTTACTGACGAAAGCAAATTTAATTTGCACGGATCAGATGGAAAGATAAGTCAAATGCTGAATTTAATCATAAGAATATAAAAGCCACTGTTAAGCACGGAGGAGGTTCTGTTATGGTTTGGGGCTGCATGTCGAGTGCGGGAGTAGGCAATTTGCATTTTATTGATGGCAAAATGGACAAATTTGTCTACCTCAACATTTTAAAGCAAAATTTAAAGCAAAGTGCAGACAAATTGGATATCGCGAAAAACTTTGCCTTTTATCAAGACAACGATCACAAGCACACATCAGGTGTTGCAAAGCTTTGGTTGATCCATAATTGCCCCAAACTTATACAAACACCTGCACAGAGCCCAGACCTTAACGTAATTAAGCATCTTTGGGAAGAATTAGATAGGAGAGTGTATGAAAAAAAAAATTAACTCCTTTGTACAGCTTAAGGAGGCTTTACTGGACTCGCGGAACTCCATAGAGCCGGAGGTATGCCAGAATTTGGTCAAATCAATACCGAAGCGTTTACAGGCCGTTCTGGACAACAAAGAATATGCAACTAAATATTAATTTCTCCATTTTTTGCATTTTTTACACTGATACTTTGCTTTGTCCGATTTTGCGTTGAACACAATAAATTGAATTAATTTTGTTTTTGTGGCGAAATTTACTGTTATCACTAGGAAAGTTGTAGTTTTTTGTATTCTTCAGAAATATAAGTAAGTAATGTGTAAATAAAAGCAAAAAAACTACACATTTAGACAATTTTTTGGAAATGTATAGCATTATTATATCTGACAACCACTTGTCCGATTATTCGATGGAGTCACTGTATATATGAGATAAAATATGATTTAAACTATTCTATAGCTAGAAGAACTTTTTTTAGTTTTACTTTAACACAACCTCGAACTCTCTTCCCCATGCTTCTCTCTCATCCATCTACATTTCTCTCTCTTTCTCTCCTTTTTTACAGGTGGCCTCCCCGACTCGGTATATTTCCCACGACGAAGATATACGAACGGCATCGTTGGCTGTATATCGGAAATTGTTATATCCGGCGAGTTTAAAATGAATTTCGATCCGAATACATTGGGGACAGCTCACAATGTTGAGACGGGCATACTTTGAAACGTTAATGCGTTGATGTTTCGCATAACTTAAGAATAGTTGAAATTATCATTTATTTTTTAAGGGATTTTACTTTGCCTATATAACAACAATAAAAAAAACAACAACAACAAAAAACCAACAACAACAACAGAGTACATAGAAACTAGAACAAGAGAAAAAGAGACATATTTTCACAACAACAAATACACAACACACACACAATATTACATAAATATCCTTATTAAATAAAGAAAAGTGCATACACCCTTCCTCACCTCGAATTTTTAAGCAGCCTACCAAACAACCACGCCATAGCTACACACACACACAAACTGAGACACTATGACCCACTCACACACATGGGAAAACAAAAGGAAAAAAGTAATCAATATGTTTGTATAAAGACGCTTTTAAATAATGAATTAAACTATATATATTATTGAAATAACAAAAAAAAAACAACAACAAAAACAAAGCAAAACAAAAAAGAGAAAAACAAATTTTATAAACTGACAACTTTATTTATAAGTAAATATAAAGAAATTATAGAAAAACAAACTAAGGATATATTACAAAAAAATATTAAATTGAAACAATCACAAAACTAACTAAACAAATTGAATGATATTGAGATACACACACACACAAACAAAAACAGTCAAATAAAAGAGAGAGTCCCATGTGTTGATTATAAACATCCCTAAAAGGTGTCAGGACACCTTTGTGGTGTTTATGTGACACCTCGCAATGTTTCGATCTCTCTTCTCTCTTGACACATAATAGTACTCTTCTTAATTGAGAAATGGCGAAATTTTAAATTGAAAAATATCTTTTTCTTCTGAGAATAAAAAGCAATACGAAAATACATATCAAATATTCTGTGTTACCATGGTACATACATATCTCTGTCGAAATGAAGATAGAAATCCAATGTTTTAAAGGGGGGGCAGAAGTAGGGGCTGAAATGAATGTATGTCTTTTCAACGAAACGAGATCTATTCATACTTACTTAGCTGGATTGTTACAGAACGGTTGTTCCAAAAGTCGAGATTAAAAATGATTTCCAAGTGCGTCGGTCTTGTGCGCAAGTCCACCAATTTGGATGACCACGTTCCAAAATGTTGTTTTCTACTTGGTCTTTCCATCTAATTCGTGGCCTTCCCCTTCTACGGGAACCATCAGTAGGCTCATTTTTATATGCCTTTTGAGCTGGGGCATCTTCATTCATCCGCACAACATGGCCTAGCCACCGTAGTCACTGCAGCTCAATACGACTGACTATGTCGATGTCCGCGTATATATTGTAGAGCTCGTGGTTCATTCGACGCCGATATTCACCGTCGACGCAGATCGGCCCGTAGATCTTTCGGAGAATTTTTCTCTCAAACACCCCAAGCGCTGCCTCATCTGCTTGCGCAAGTACCCATGCTTCTGATCCATATAATAGCACGGGTAGTATCAGCGTCCTGTAAAGTGTGAGTTTGGTCTGGCGAGAGGTGGCCTTGTTTCTAAACTGCTTACTTAGACCATAGTAGCATCTGTTGGCCATCACAATCCTTCTCCGAATTTCAAAACTGATGACATTCGTTTTATTTATGGCGGTACCAAGGTATATAAAGTCTTTAACTACCTCGAAGCTGTAGTTCTCAAGTTCCACAGTTGGTCCGAGTCTACTGGACGTCTTGCGCGTTGATAACATCAGCTTGGTCTTCTCGCCGTTTACTGCCAGACCCACTTTGGCAGACTCCTTTTTAATTTGTTCAAAGGTGGCTGTTACCGCTCGCAATGTTCGACCCATTATATCGATGTCATCGGCGTAGGCGTGTAACTGATGTTGTTTGGTGTACAGAGTGTCATTTCTGTTCACCTTTGTGTCTCGTATGACCTTTTCCAGTAGGATGTTAAAAAGATCACACGACAAACTGTCACCTTGTCTGAATCCTCGTTCGGTATTGAAGGGCTCCGATAGGTCCTTTCCTACTTTAACGGCTGACCTTGTGCCACTTAAAGTTATCGTGCATAGCCGTATTAATTTTGCAGGAATGCCGAACGCCGACATGGCTTTAAACACCTCTGAACGGATAGGGCTGTCGAATGCGGCTTTATAGTCGACAAATAGGTGGTATGTGTCGATGTGTTTTTCGTGGGTCTTTTCCAGGATTTGGCGCAGAGTGAAAATCTAGTCAATCTGGTCTATTCATACAAATTCTTATATAGAAACGGGTTTCCAAGATTCCAAACTTCGCAAAATAAAGTGGGAGAGAAAATACCAACAATTATTCCAAGTTTTCGAGCAATTTCCGAATGGTTTAGCCTTTTTCTATTTAGCGGCCAAATTAAAATATGGACGGATATTGAACATTTTCTAAGAATCAGCCACATTAAAAATATATCTACGTCCTGGCCTATAAATGCGGCTAGAACCTTCAAAATATCCAAAGTAGGTCGAGAATCTTTAAACGGGATATCTATAAAGAAAATGTGTTTGTAGATACTTGACCCAAATAACTTTTTTTACAAAACACCAAACCGTCGGATTTGGTAGTACTTCAAAAACACTTCTTGAAAAATAACCAGGTAAGAGGCTTTGGTGGTTCTTAATTGTGTTTATACAAATCAAAGCTTATAAATCTGATGGATCTTGAAATAATCTTCTAAAAAAATCGGCGTTTATTCATTTTTTTGTTCTTACGTCCACACTTAAACATCCTTGAAAAAATTCACTGTGGTCCTGGCTAAGGGATCTTCTTAAAAAAAATCTATACATAGCGATTCCAGAAAATCCCTGCGATTAGGGATTAGGTCGTTCTTAACAATATTTTTAAAGCACACTCCAATTGACCCCTGTAAAAATCTTGACCAAAAATCTGATCATATCTCTGTTACAAAAAAAAAACTAATTTGTTAGTTGTTTATCCTCGGAGAACTTAGGGGTCCTCCCATCTTCTTACAAAGACCCAAGCTTTCGGATCTGGTGGCACCCACAAAAAAATTCTTATAAAAATCGAAACTGAATCTTGAAAAAACTTTTTTACATCATCAAATTAAAGCCATTGATTCTGACAGCCCTTGTAATAATCTTCTTAAAAATCTGCTTTATGAATTTTATTCTTATTAAGACCACACTTATAGATCCTTCAGAAAATCCAAGTTCACCCTTACTAAAGGATCTTTAAAGATAAAGATCGGTCAATATTTAGCGGGTCAAATGGACCCTGACTTTTGTGTGAAAAATGACAACATTTGTATTCTATGGCGTATATATTTACGCGTGGAGGACATAGCCCCGAGATAGAATATCCAAGAGGAGTGGTTGACCATTAAATTGATACCAATTATATTGCCGTATGTACTCGGATATCGGAGTTACACTTAAATATGTACAGGTGCCTATGTATTCATATATTATGTAGTAACCCATTACCACTCTAGAGAGCGGAAATATAGCGCTGATCACTTTGAAATGTTCCATGAGATTCCAGTTATTGTCAAGGACAATTTTCGGTGATGATCAGAAACCAATATTGGAATGAAGTGGACCAAAAACTTAATTTTTGTGTTCTTTTTTTCGAGTCGATCTATAGGCCACAATTATAAGCCAAACATCACAACACAATCCACGGTGAAGGACAATTAATTAGAAGGGTAATATTTAGTAATATTTGTTGACCTCTAGTCGATGAAGATGGTGCAAATATCGCGAAATATTGCCCAAGCTCTGATATAGAACCACACAAACTTTTTGTGGAAGTTGTGTAGGGTATCATATGGTCGGCCCCGTCCGACTATACTCCTCCGCTCACTGGTTATTTTTTGCATTTTTGGAATAATTCGCATATTCGGACGAATTCGCCAGTTCTTCAATATAAAGAAAATAAATAATTGTACTGAATATATTGAAATACATATAGGGGTTTTTTTTTTGTAACATAACCCGTATAAATTTGAGAAAATCCCATTAAAACGATTTCTCATCTTTGAGGACCCCAACTAAAATCTCATGAACAACATTTTTATTGAATATTGCGAGGATGAAAAAAAGCATTTTGTGATAATTGGAGTCCGGTTCAATAAATAAAGGATGAAAGAGATATACAAGGATACGAGTTAGAAGGACGAAGTGTTCTACAAACATATTCTTCATTACATTTTACTGTAAAAATGTGATCTCCAAAAAAAACATACAAGGGTTGCCATAAAAAAAAGATCACATCATATCTCCAAACTATGGCGTATTTTTCCTTCTGGAATTTTCATACACTCAACCAATAGGCATTTTCCACCCCCAGACCATGACCCGGATTTTGTTCCACAGTGTTATTGATAGGAATATTTGGTACCCAATAAGAATCTATAATATTAAATTAGATCAATTTATGTTAAAAACCCGTGTCGTGACAATACTGACATTTTGAAGGCCCCTTACATAGGGTCTATGCTAAAAAAGTGGATCAATATTGTTAATTTTTGGTATGAAAATTTGCTACCCAAATTATATGGTGGAGGGTATACAAATCTATGCCTAGGGATCCTTATGTTCCTGCAAAAGATTTACAAAAATGCAGGCTTATACTGAATCTGGTAGATCTGCAGTCATGGGGTCTGTCGTTCCTTGAAAAAATCTGATAGTATTTAAACCTTAAAACTTGAAGGTCCTTTTTTACAGTAATCCACGGCTTTTGGACCAAAAATGTTTTTATTTTACAAAAATTAAAGCCTTTAAATCTGGTGGCCTATCAACTCTATAATATACACTATTTTGGATCTGGTGGTCATTGAGCCTTATGGATCTGGTGATCTCCTCGATCTGCAGGTCTTTGAAAATAGCAGATGGTTTATGAGAATTTTTTTTTACATCATCCATATAGTGGACATTCTGATAAAATACAAATTTGTTGATTTAATATTCTTAAACAATCCGCACATATGGTTCTGGTTATCCTCTGTAAAAGCCGTGTATGATATTATTTTCTAGCTACTGAAATACCGTAGGAAAAACTTTTAGGCCGTCTCCATATATAGAAGAAAGCCTCCTATTTGCTGAAAACCTGCAAGTGGCCAAATAGAAGATCGTTTAGGTAT